AGAACTTCTTTTTCTACAAAATGCACTTTTGCCTCCACAAAGCAAGCTTGAGATTCAATTTCAGTGGCTTCTCAGGCCCTCGCATCCGTGCACACCCAGCTGGCCCATGACTCAGGGCTCCTCTGCATTGATACTCTGTGGTCTTGCGATCTGCAGAAAGCAGGGGAGCTTGGAGGTCAAGGTCTATCTTCCTGCTAGCACTAGATGGGATTCCATCCAGGCTACTCTGCTTAGCCTATCACCTCCAGTTACCACCTAACGTTTGGGGGCCTCCATCACCTTACCTGCAAAACTGGAGTAATAGTACTGCACACCTATTATCTCAATCTGAAGATTACATTATTAACACTACTTCAAATAGTACGAGGAGCATATAGCACGGTCTTGGAACATCAGTTGGTGGTTTGGTTGAGCTCCGCAGTTTTGTCTCTTTTCCCCTGCTTAGTGTAATCAAGAGAGTTCAAGGGGCAGTTGATTTTCTACTGTCCCCAGAGGAAGATCCTTTTACTGGAAGGAAGGATAGAAGAGGCCACCCAGGACTAGACTTGACAAACAAACATGCAAGAAAGAAAGAGCCCGTCTAGCATTGCTCATATGAGAGAGATTCATCCAGGGACATCTCCTTCTTGCTTTTTATATTCCTCCCCCTCAGGGCTCTATTCTAACCATGAGAGAGAGAGAGGGGGGGAGCATTAGTTAAACTCTCAGCATTTCTCTTGAGACACAAACTCAGGAAACAGAGAAATGGAAATAAGTTTTCATCTTGGAACTATGTAGAGGAGATAATAGACATCAGCCTTGATAGAAGTCAAGGAACTGGGAGTAAGTTGACAACTTGGTACTGAAGGGACCCAGAGCATCCCCACTGCCTCAGTTTCTTGGCCAGGGTGAACTGGCCCAGAAGGGCTTCTGCCTCAGAACTTCCTCATTTAGCGTGACAAAGAGATTAAAGCTCCAGGTCTGAGCTCTGTGTAATCTTTTTAGCCTTATGCTATTCTTTGGCTTCAAGTTGAGCCTCAAACTTAATTAACTTATTATAAGCAAATTAAATAAATAAATAATGAATTAATGAATAAATAATAAAGCTAAGTATTTTTATAAATGAACTTCCAATCACTCAACAGAATTGTCTAATCCCACCCAAATTGACTTGCTGACTTATGAAAATGATTTTTTGTGAAATTATTAGTATAGTGGTTTACTGGGTGTGGATTGCCATTAGCCAACTTCTGAATTATGATTCTGCTGTAAGATGCTGCCCTCGGGCCTTCCAGTACTTCCTCCATCAGATTGGCAGTTGTTACGGTTGGGTTCCTAATGCACCACCGAAACTGACAGATTGTTAGCACACCATCCATACTGCAGGGCTGGAACGTACTTCCTCTCAGTATTCCTCATGGAGGCTTCTAGCACCCTACCCTGCAGCCCCTCTGGCCACTTTGAACACTGCCATCTCTGGAAATGTCAGTGACATCACCAAATTTACCAACTCGTTTGCCAAAGCTCAGCTACTTGACAGCCCAGTGCCTTAAACTGTGGGTCACAATCTCACATTGAGTTTTTTTTTTGGGGGGGGGGAGCGTAACTGAATATAAGATTTGTAAAAGTATTGGCAACAATAAAAGGCTTTTGAAAGTGCAATGATGAAGATCAATTCAAAATCAAGTGCATAACAGCCGTTTGCTTCTGGAAGTGCTCACCCATGTTGCACCGTGCGTCATCACTGGAACCTTGTGCCTTAGCCACAACCCATGCACCTCGCACTGAGCATGCTGTCGGTGCCAATGAACTCTGCCTAAAGCCACAGGGCTCAGATTCCAGACTACCGTACGTTATGAACTGCAGTGTTTTTACTGTATTCCCAAGTTTTTTGCTCTTATAGGAACATAATGATTTAATTATGGGAGGAGCCTTACCATTTCCCCCATCACTCCTCAGTGTATAAGTATCAGATTAGTATATTTTGAGCTAGTATGATGTTAGGATGTCTGACTTTCTAAATTGCTATTTGAGTTGCTGACTTCAGTTTCAGTTTTTTTAACAGTCATTACATGAATTTTGGCTTGTGACTGATTAGGATAGGATTTCTGATATCTTCTGACATGGCCTTAAACCTATTTCTGTTAAGAGTTGGCCATATAATAATATTTGCTTACAATAATAATATTTGCTTATAGTCCAAGTCTCTCTACTATACGATGTGGCTAACCTGTGTGGAAAATCTAAAGCCCAGAACTTATTGTCACTGAGCACCTTTATCTACAATCAGTACTTTCAGTAGCTTCAGTCTTTTGGGAAGTACCAGTCGAGACCCCTGAAAGTCTCCTCTAAATCAGTGAGTATTTTGAGTATTTATTCTGTGTCTACTCTGCATCAAGCAGTGGCTAAACCATGCAACTCCACGAGCGCCGAGTTCCACGACAACCATTTAACACTGAGGAGAAAGAAAAACTTCTTGTCTGCTTTTTACACCTCATCTCCAGTTTCACTTGGTAAAATGGAAGGGGATGGCAGAGAAAAGGGTTAGTCTTTCAATAAGTGCCATGTTCCTAGGAAACCCTTTTAAAATGAAGACATCTACTTCTTTGTGCTGGTGGAAAGAGCCGACAGAAATACCTAACAACAGAACAAGGAGTAAAATTGCCTTCAGGCAGCCTGTTTCCTCATCAAAGACTACAACTTGTATTCTAATACAGGAAGCTGGTCTCCCTGGTTGAATTGCTTAAATGCCCCCAAGTATGCCAGCCTCATGATGAATGACACCCAGCACCCAGACATTGTGTGCACTCTTTGCCCTCTTCTGTGGAGCCCAGAGCAGAAAGACCGTTGTAGGAGGCAACCAAACTTTGTAGGGTAAGAGGGCTACAAAGCATAAAAATAAAAAGGTGTCCAAGTTAAGATCTGAGGTGCCCCCACTGAGCACTTCAGATATAATAATGGAAAAAAAGCATTGAATTCACTCGGCCAACAATTCTTTAACTTTTTAAAAGGAGTTTTGAGTGTGTTGTGTTTCCTATTAAGGATATAAAGAATAGTGCACGAACATGGATTTGGTCAAGGGAGGCACTCTCACAAATGTACCATTATACTAGTATAAAGACAAAATGAATGTACCCTTGAGAACGTAATTATAGCTAGCTCAAAAATTGAACTCTACATACTATTGTGGGAGGCTAAGTGGGTAAAAATCACTTTGGAAAACTCTATGGCATTACTAAGAACATTAAATAACATGTTACGAGTGACCCAGGAATTCCACTTCTGGATATAAACTCAAGAAAATTGAGTATATATCCTTACCACAAACTCTGTGCAAGAATATGGAAGATTTTTTCACAAACAGGCCCAAACTTTAAACTATCTAAGTTCCCACCCATAGTAGAATATGTAAATGAAGTATGCAAAGAAAGTAATATTATACTACAAGAAAGGGCCGTCACCCACTGCATGTAGCCATGAAATAAATGTCATACAAAAACGGTCAGTTTAAGAAGCTAGGCGCAGTATCCATGTATCATATGCCTCCCTTTACATAAAGTACAAACAGGCAAAATGAGTCTTTCTTGCAAGAAAGCAATATAATGGATGTCACGAGGGTGGGGCAGGAGGAAGAACTCCATGATGCCTCTGTTTCTTAAATGTGAAAGTGTCGCTTACTGCAGGGCCATCCAACCTTTGACATTGCCACACAATGTCATCATCTACAAAGTTCACATTCAAAAGCAGCACAACCAAAAAGATCACATCGGGGGGAAATGTCATGTTTTATATAAGTGTACGCTTTTGTATTAGCTCACATTCACAGCTACCCCCTGCTTCAGGTTAGACATGTCTGAATGGATTTGTAAATACCTATCCAATTGAACACATAAGTTATGTGTACTTTTATATGTTTATATTTGTCAAAGAATAAAAATATGACTTAAAATCTTTACATTTCTCTATACCATGTGCAATTTTTGTTCCTATGGACTCTGCGCATAGCTATATGACTTGCTTTGACCACTGAGGTTCCCCACCTCAGTGCTGGGAGTTGAAACAGGGTCTTAGTGAACAAGCAACCACCAAGCTACAGCCCTCATCCCTGCCAGTATGGTCTTAACAAACATAATCTGAGCAGTGGATTGAAAGATTGTTTGCAGATTCCAGCTCATGCTCTTGTGCAATATCCATGAAAACATAACCAGGCTAGTCTGCTAGAGGAATCCACAGAGCAACAGCCAAACTGCCTCTCATCAGGGCCAAGGTAACCCTACATGAGGCAATAGCCAGCTAACTCCCAGATAGGTACATGCACTAAGACAGATCAAAGTACAGTCCAACCAAGCACAGCAGAAACCATCAAACTATAAGCTTGTAAGCAAAATAGACACTCATTTTAAGTCACTGAGCTATTGAAGATTGTTAATCAACATTATTGTGTAACAGACAAATGACATAATCATATGCTTTAGGTTAAAGCTAAAATATATATGAACTAGAACAACATACACAAAAAAAATTGACTCAAAAGATTCATCTCATACCTCTGTTTTGAGCATAGTCACATCCTGTGAGAAAGAGACACTACCTGGGATCCTGGGAACCTGTCATTCCACAGAGTCAGTGTTCCAAAAGTATAACAGGACGGTCAAGTAAAACCCAGGCCTAGCATCCAATGGACAATCCAACCAAAAGAAGCTCCCTGCTGCCTCTAAAATTTCTCTGCCATTTTCCCCAAAAGGCACAGCAGCAAATAGCCATTCCTTCTCCCATTAAAAAGAAAAGTGGCATTTAAATTGCTCTGCTCAACATAAAACCTCTTGTAAATAGCCAACACATTCTATATGGATAGGGAACAGATACGACTTTGTTTCTGACTTGGCCATGTTTCACCACTCTAGTGAAAACAACTGATGCGGTGGGTTGGTTCCCTTGGCAGAACTCTTCCTAAGATAAGCACTGACAGGCATGGGCAGAAACCTGGTCTTCAGCATCCAACTGAGACATGGCTGTGTTACCTGGATTAACCTGAGCTTTTGCAGAACCCAGGATGGGCAAGAGCAGGAGCAGCACCAGGGGCATTCTGGGAGTCGGGATCATTTCAGAAGACGGAGTTGGATCTGGAGTCTGCAGCCCGCCAATAATGCAAGGAAACAGAAAGAGAGGGAAAAGAAATGAGTAATGCAGATTTCACCAACACACGTGGACACGATCTTCAGAGATGATTTGGGATTCTTGCCATGTTTATTTCCATATTTAAAACTTCAGTATCCCCAGGGATTACCTAATGCAAGAGTTTTCCAATTCTATTAGGATTGGAATCAGCAAAACTATACACAGGTAGCAACATATAACTGAGGCAAATACCGAATGGTAACAACAAAATAAAATTTATATTTATGATGACTTCTAATGTTTTCATATTATCAACATTAGTTCCAACATTAAGCAAAAAGAAATTCAGTAACTTTAACCTGTTTTTAAAGCTCCATAAGTTCAATATTTGTCTTGATCCATTAGCTTCGAAGTGACATGCAGAACTTTGTAGCTTACTCTTTTTTAAGTTTCCTCCAAATAATCATGTAACAATGAATTAGACATGCACATATCATTATATATCCAGATTTAATTCAAGAGAGGCATGGGTAGTTACATGTGGAAATTTTTATAGACATTTATATGTATATAGGTGTATATAATACATATCCATTGACCCCTCACTCCATCAGCTAAAAGGGCCCAAGGGCAAAGTATTCTGGCAGTGTCCATCCATCGGCCATGAAAACCAAGTGCCAAGATCTAGGTTTCTAATCCCATCTACCAATAAAAGGAATCAGAGTTCCTTAGAAAAAAAATGATTAATTCTAAGACTGGGTAAGGAAATCCATAAGATAAGCCTAGAATATATGTTGAATGCACACACACACACACACACAATGAAGTACGTCAAAAGAACATAGGAGTCAGCTGAAAGATCTCCCAGTAATCAAAGCTGAAACAATTTGATCAGCAAAATAAATAAAGGCATGTTAGATTATAACTCAGCGTATAAATAAATATCCACAAGTCCGTGCTGATGTAAATAAATGACTGAATAAACAAATGAGAGAGAACAGCACATTTCCCATGAAAAGGGATTCTAAATAATTTATGTAGCTAATCTACTTTTAAGGAAGTGGAGTCTCACCCTCCACACTTTCAACTCCTTATGCATAAGTTGCACACAGTAACTTGCTTCCAAAGGACTCAGCATGAGCCTGGAGAAGGGGAGGAGAGCATCTTCTCAGTGGGGAAATCTGCCAAACTACTTAGTGTCAGGTACTGTGGTTACATAACATCAGCACTGAAATGTCATTGTGACCGTGCCTGTCCTTGATAGGGTTTGATGGGAAGGCACTTGAGGTCCGTGGTCCCAACCCACAAACCACGGCCTTTGTCTATTCATGAAGAAAACAACAGGCAAATTCTAAGTGTGGGACTTTCTACAAGATTCCCAACTGATGCTGAGTGCTGTCAGTCAACCAAAACAAAAGAACCCAAGAAACTGTCACCACAAACGGGAAGGAAGGCAATACGGACACTAAAGAAGATGTAATGAGTGACACACGGTATGGGTCCTGGACTTGAAAAAGGACACCAGGGGAAACGGAGGAAGTCAGAGTAAGTTGTAGCAATGCGTCAACGGTGGTTTTCTCATTTGACAGACAGACAGTAGTGATGTAAGATATTAACTCCTGTCAGGTACACAGGGATTTGATGTACTGTCTCCACAAAGATTCCATAAATATAAAACTGTTATATCCTCCAGATAACACTGATAAATGGCGAAGAGAGAAATCCCTGTAAGCTGGACTGAGTAGGGAAGACCTCCAGAAGACATCAGTGGGTTCCTGAAACACAGGCAAGGTTTGAATGGGCAGTAAAAGAGAGGGACTAAGAAGGGGGCTGACGCAGATGAGCGGGGGGCACTTTTTAAGTAAAAGAAACTTTCTGTGATGATTTCTAAATGGTAGTATGTTGATACACTTGAAAAACTTTTTATTTACTTTTGTTTGTTTACACGTGTGTGTGTGTGTGTGTGTGTGTGTATGCACATGTGCATGCATCATGAAAAGACTACCTATAGAAGTCAGTCCCGTCCTTCTATCACACGTGTTCTAGGATTTGAACTCAAGTCATCAGACTTGGCAGCAAGTGCCTTCACCCCCTGAGCCATCTCATCAATCCCTTAAAAACATCGTTTTAAAAATGTCTACATTAACTTATTAATTATGTGTGTATGTTCACATGAGTGCATGTGGCAGTATGAGGACTATTGTGGGAGTCCATTCCATATAGGTTCCAAGGCTCAAACTCAGACCATCAGGTTTGGTGGTGACAATCACCTATACCCACTGATCCATCTCAACAGTCCTAAAAAAAATTAAGTCGGATATTCGGATGGTTTTCTTTAAAGAAAATGGAGCCAAAGCAAGTCCAATGGAAGAGATAAATGTATATCTGTGGGATGTGGTAGGGCCTGAGAGATCACCAAGATGATGGGCATGTTTTCATTTCACAGACTTGGGTGTAATAAACACCTGTCTCAGTAGGCTTTCAGAAACTCCAGAAGCTGGAAAATAGGCTTCCATAGAGTCTCCCAGAAAACACTCCCAGAAGGAAAATCATATAAGTAAGTGTTGCTCATGACCATGATCTAAGGATGTCCTTACATAGAGATCTGTGTTCTTGTGTACAGCCATCTAGGAACCTCTTATTAAGGGTTTCTGGCCATACATTTCTACACTTCATAACTTTTCCCAGTCCTACAGAGAGTATCTCCTACATCTCATGTCTTCTTCTCTTTACCAATCCACATGCCAAATTTACCTCTGTGTTATTATAAAGTTATCTGTTAACCATTAGCTTCTTCTACAAACTATGTATTCAGAGAGGTCTTGTTTTGCTTTCTTTTTCTTTTATTTGTTTGTTTGTTTGTTTGTTTGTTTTTGAGACAGGGTTTCTCTGAGTAGCCCTGGCTGTCCTTGAACTCACTCTGTAGACTAGGTTGGCCTCAAACTTGGAGATACACCTGTCTTCACACACCTTCCCTCCCTCCACCAGCCAGATGTAGTTTTTTTTTTTAAAGATTTATTTATTTATTATGCATACAATGTTCACTCTGCATGTATGTCTGCAGGCCAGAAGAGGGCACCAGATCTCATTACAGATGGTTGTGAGCCACCATGTGGTTGCTGGGAATTGAACTCAGGACCTCTGGAAGAGAAGTCAGTGTTCTTAACCTCTGAGCCATTTCTCCAGCCCCAGATGTAGTTTTTAACTGATAAAACAGACTTACTAGGTCATTAATATATATATATACCAATTTCCCTTTTGGTATTAATGTTTGATTTCAGGTTGTAAATCTCCAAAACCAGTGATGATTTTTTCCCCTTTTCTTAAAAATCAAGGTGAACAACCAGCCCAGAAGGATCATAACAAATCTAAACATCCTGTCCCTGTAGCAAATGTGTCTAATGTCCCAGGGAATGTTGCACTGATATTCACTCGATGGAGTGTGCTTTTACTGATAATGTAGCTGAGAAGAAAGTGGTTAATCTCCAGGTTACAGCACAGATACGCAAAACCAGCATGTGGGTCTGGAGTTCCCTGACTCCAGAGTCCACCTGACGTCACTGCCACTGCCATCCTTCCCTTTGTCTCTCATTCTATTCTATCCTTTTCTCAAGCCTCTGCCTCCCTTTCCAGCTCAGTTACAATGAGGCTTCTCATTTATTTCTTCTATTTTTTTAGTTTTATACTTTTATTATTTTCTCACTTTCCTTTTATTTATTCTTTGTGTCTTTCACATCATGCATCTCGATCCCATTCATTTCCCATCCCTGTGTATCCACCCTCTGCCCTTGCAGAACACACACACACACACACACACACACACACACACACACACACACACACAATAAAATTTAAGAGAAAAAAGAAAAAAGAAAAGAAAAGAAATGGGGGAAGCATCCCATCATGGAAGCTGTAGTGTGATATAGTGAGTCACATAGTTCTATTTTCTTTTGCCTAAGAGCCTGTGTCAAGCTTTTTCCTCTTTGTTTGCCCGAGTCTCTATTCAACTGTCACTTCTGCATCAAAGTGTTCTGGCTTGGTTGCTAATGCACTGAAAACAGTATTTCTATACAGTAATGACTGTGGTGTCAACTATGTATGGTTACTGTGACTACTTAGTGTCCTTTTTGCAAGCTCAATGTTATTGTGCTTAAAACACTCAACGAAGAGCCTTGACAAATACCATTGTTGACCCAAATGCTCAGTGATTATATCTGGCTAATCTGAAATGTTTTGCCCTAAAAGGAACTTTTTTCAAAGATTCCTATGAGCAGAAAAACCCCTCTGGATGAATTGTCTCAAGCATTTCAAGGATTCAGTATTTAGTCATGTGGCATATGCATGGAGCTCAAAGCACATGTGGAGATGTTAGCAGCTGGGAAAGTTCTCTGTGAGTTTTTGTGACTAACAACATGAACCTCTTCAACAATTTATTCAGGTCTGAAAAAATAAAACACAAATGCCCCTGGTCAGAGTATTGCCTTTTGCTCATTTATTCATCAGTTATTTTTTAAATGTCCCCTCACATGGGATACATACATCTTAAATGTCAGAGCAGGACTGGGGAGATGGCTCGGACAGTAATAATGTATGTACTCTGCAGGAGCATGAGGACCTGAGTTTAACCTTCCAGAATCCATGTCACTAAAAGACACTGGCACAGCTGTAAACTCCAGCACTGAGGAGGCAAAGACAAGAGGATCCAGAACCCAATCCGTGAGTTCCAGACACAGTGAGAGACCCTGACTCAAAAAAAAAAAAGAAAGAAAAAGGAGAAGTGTGATCAAGGAAGGTATCCAACACTGACCTCTGGCCTTCACACATACCTTTGTGAACAAAAAAATAAAAATAAACAAGTCAGACAAGATCACCATCCTCATGGAGCTTATGATATGCAAATAAATAAATAAATGAATATAAAGAATAGACACACGGAGCTTATAGTGTGCAAATAAATAAATAAATTACAAATAAATAATGAATAGACACACAGGTGGCAACTGACAGGCCCA